CTGTGCTGGTGCACAGGTAGCACTCCACGCAAAGCTCTGCAGCTGGTCTCAAGCTGCGGCTGAGGCAGGCCCAGGGACCCAGCGGGTTTCCTACAGGCAGCCTTCTCTGACACTTTGGTGTAACCTGCCCCAGAAGGAAGGAAGCCCGGTTGCCAGGGTGGAAGGCTACGGAGTAGCTGCTCTGAGCGGCCGAATCTGCTTCTCGGCCAAATTCTTGGGAAGTCCGACTTCATCCCACCAGGCAACACTCCAGTCTGGAAAAGTCCAGGGAGAAGAGAAATCCAACACCACATTCTCAGGGGTTTCAGGATGGGACTGCCCAGTCTCAGAAACACAGTCCGGAGAACATTTGGGGATGTAAAAAAATCATTTTTATTGTTGTTGCCGTGGCTCATCCGGTGCCTGTGCTTACATAGTTCCCAAGTGAAAGTGGGTCTCCCGCGTGGACGTAGAGAGTGCCGGCGGCCACAGTGCCACATGCACGGAGCTTGAAGGAGGGCAGCAGGCAGGACAGCACGGTGCATAGGTCACCTGCATCAGGTCAGGCGCCATCGTGACCAGTGCCCCGGAAGCCCCTTTGTGCTGCCTTCGGTCACTGCCCCACCCGGGGTCCCGTGCTCCTGACTTTGGAAACGAGATTAGTTGTGCTCGTGTTTGGCCTCATCCGTGTGGAGCCGTACGTGGCTCATGCGTCTGGCCTCTCTCCCTCCACACTTCGTGTGAGGACCACGCCTGTGCTGCCCATAGTATTGTTCTTTCATTCTCAAGGCTTCTCGATCTCTGTAGGCGCTGTTGGCATTTGGGGACAGATCGCTCTCTGTCCAGTGTGTGGTGGGCTGTCTTGTGCATTGTAGGATGTTTAGCAGCATTCTTGGTCTCTGCTCACTAGGGAGAGGGTGGTACCTGCATCCCAAGTTGTAACCAAAATTGTATCCAGACATGGCCAAAATGACCTCTAGGGGACAATATCACCCCTGATTGAGGACCACTGCTGTAGAATATTCTGTGGTATGAATATGTCACAACTTTCTTATCCACCTGATAGTCATTTGCATTGTTTCTGGTATTTGGCTACCATGAATTGAGCTGGTATGCCCGTTCTTTGACATGTTTTTGGGTAGGCATACACATTCATTTCTGTTGGGTGTCCAGGAAGGAATTGTTGGGTTATAGAGTAGGCATGTGTTTAGCTTTAACAGATACTGCCAAACAATTTTCCACAGTGGTTATACCAGTTTTCACTCCCAGCAAGTACCTGCGTGTCCCAGTTGCTCCACATCCTCGACAATAACATTGAGCTTTTACTTTGCATTTCCCAGAGGTGGAGCACCTTGACATACGGGTCTTGGCCACTTGGACATCCTCTTAACGAAGTGCCTGTTCGAGTCTTCTGCTCGTTTTTTTCTATAGGATTGTCTGCCATTTTCTTATTGATTGGTGGCAGCTCTTTATATATGATGGATGTGTCCATTGTCAGATATATGTATTGCAAATATCTTCTCTCTCTTTGTGGACTCACAGATTTTTAGAGCCAGAAGCACTCTATCCTTCCCTCTTCAAACCTCCAGGTATGCTTGACTGTTATTACTTAACTATCCTTTTTACAAGAGAGTAAATTTCATATGAGCAGGGGCTGTGTGTCTGATTTGTTCGTCTTAGAACTCCCAGCAGAGTAGGTACAAAATAAATACTTGTGGAATGAAAGTATGAGAAAAGCTCCCATTGGGATGATATTTTGCAGCCTAAGGCTTCCATGTGTTTCAGCAGTTGTTGACTCCCAGGCAACCATGCTAAAAGCACAGAGATTGAGGCACCCGCCTGCTCCCTCGCCCCCTGCCTAAGGGCGGCAGCCAGCTCCTGAGTCTGTCTGTCATCCCCCAGCCAGCTGGAACTCTGCCCACCTGCACCTGCCCTGAGGGAGGCGGGGCTTCTCCCAGAGAAGTCACATTTTAATTAACTTTCCCGACAATCACTGGAGAGGTTGGATCATTTTCATAAACAAAAGAGAGGCTAGAGCTTTGTCTGCAGCTCAGAGTGAGTGGTGCGGAAGGAATTCAAAACAAACCACCCAACAGGGGTGCCCACCTGGAACTCAGAACTCCATTGCTCTTGAGGGAGGGGGCCTGGGACTTGAGATGTGGAAGAAGAGGGAGAAAAATGATCAGTTACTGTGTAGAAAAGAGCCAATAGTCTCAAAGTAGGCCGTATGGACTGCATGTTTGTGTTCCCCCAAAACTCACGTGTTAAAACCCTAACCCCCAATAGGATGATACTAGGAGTGGGACTTTGGGGAGGTGATTAGGTCAGGAAGGTGGCGCCCTCAGGATGGAATGTGTGCCCTTATGAGAAGAGGAAGAGAGTTAGCTCACTCACTCTGTTCTCCGACACACAAGAACGCAGTGAGAGGGTGGCCGTGTGCAAACTAGGAAGTGAGCCCTCACCAGACACCAGATCTGGTGGTGCCTACATGTTGGACTTCCCAGCCTCCAGAGCTGTGAGAAATAAATATTTATAGCCACCCAGTCTATGATAATTTGTTATGGCAGCCCAAGCTGACTAAGACATAGGTATTTCATTTATTCATTCATTCATTCATGGCACCCCTATTTACTAGCATCTGTTCTATGCTGGGCCCTGGGAAAGGAGGGATGAGAATAAAGACCAACTGGGTCTATAGGAAACCTCCACGCTGTCTGCTCAGTTTTGCTGTGAACCTAAAACTGTTGTAAAATATAATGTCTATTTTTAAAAAACTAACCTTAAAAAGTAAAGAGTGGATCCCTGCCTCTGTGGCGCACACAGTCTCCTGGGGGAAGACAGACATTAAACTGATCATCATGCAACTAATGACTTAATTACGCCACTTTGTAATTCTCCAACAGCTTTATTTGAGATGCAATTCACATACCGCACAATTCACCAGTTTAGAGTGTGCAAGTCAATGGCTTTTACTGTATTCACAGAATTGTACAAGCATCGCCCCAACCAATTTTAGAACATTTTCATCACCCTCACGACACCCCTTAGCCAGGCCATCGCCCCCACAGTCCCTCCATTTCTGCCCTCCACCCACGCCCAGCCCTCGCAACCACTGATCTGCTCTCTGTCTGTGGATTTGCCTATTCTGGACGTTTCACGAGGATGGAATCGTGCAGTATGTGGCCCTTCGTGTCTGGCGTCTCAGCATCATGTGGTCAAGGTCCATCCACGCTACAGCGGGCACAACTGCGTAATTTTGAAAGTGCCGTGATGGGGGCTCAGGGCACTATGGTGCCACCATGTAACACGGAGGCCTGTCTGGACTGGTGCCAATCTGGGAAGGATTCCCAGAGGAAGAGGTTTCTAATATCAGGCATTTGTTGTGCACCTGCTGTGTGCCAACAGGAAAAAGGAGGTACTAGAAGCCAGGAGTCTGGCCGACTCAGAGTTTACAATCCAGGCAGGGTGGCCCAGCACATGTATTCACGGAAGTCGAGACAGTGACTTAACTTCTAAGCCCCAGTGAACGGAACAGAGGGTGGGAGTTACTGGTGTTCAGAGGAGGGACAGCCACGGCAAGCCCAAGGCTCCCGAGAGCTTCCAGCAGAGACAGGGCTTAAAAAATGAGGCCCAGCAGGGGCAGAGGCAGGGGGAGAGGAAAGGCCCGGATGAGGCTGGGCGCCTGGGGTTCTCAGACCCGGGGGCGTGGGCTGGTCTGCCTCAGCAGCGGGGCCACGTGGGGCGCAAAGCAGCAGGGCTGGGCGGAATGGAAGGGACAGGGCCTGGACTTCCAGCCCAAGGGAGGGGTTTACTGCAAAGGCAGTGACGAGCTATTGCGGGTGGTCCCCGACCACCTACCTACCTCTACACACCCAACCTGCAGGAGCCAGAGATGACGGGACACAGAGGAGAGAAAGTGAGGCCAGAGGGTGGGAAGAGCCTGGGAGACAGAACACCCTGCGACCTCGAGCCCTCGGCCTGTTGCCCGTGGGCAGCAGAGGAGCAGCCGCACCATCCTCCACACCGTCCACGGGCATGCAGGCACCAGGGGGCCAGGGAATCTGGGGCTCGTTGGCATCCACGGAGCTCGCAGACCTGAGGGTGAGCTGGCAGTAGCCAGCCTGGGTTCCTGCTGCAGGCCCGATGTGGGCTGTGTGACCCCTCCGCACCGCAGCTGCCCCTCGAACAGCTGGGAGGGTGGAGGGGCCTCCTCACTGGGCGGCCGCGCAGACTAAATGAGAGAACCGAGAACTCAGTGAGCACTCAGGGATGAGGAAGGTGATGATGGTGTCCTAAGCTCCACAAAGCACAGGGCCTCTGTCCCCGGTAGCTGCTGTTCTAGAGACACCCCAGCCCCGGCTCAGACACACCCCCACATGAATGACAGAGCTGCCTCTCTAGGCCTCAGTTTCCATATCTATAAAATGGGACTAATGTGGTTGATAACAGAGTAATTTTGTTCATACAAACCCCTTCTGGGGGGGGTCAAGGAGTTCACTAGAGACCCAGAGAGTGAGAACAGCATCCAGGTGCTGAGGGGGTAACTGTGTCCCTGCCCTAAGGTGAGGATTTGAGGACACGAGTTCCTCATGAGAATGGCTCGATCGGAATGAAGTGTTAGGTAGGAAAGATGTCCCCCTCCCTTGATGGTGGCCTCCAGATGGGTCTTGGACTGGGCCGGTCATTTCCAGCCTGAGCCCAGCAGGTGTAGGCTGCACCCCAGACACAGCTGCTCAGCTCAGGGACTGCGCTTCCCCCCTCCCCCACAATGCACCGATGTGGCCATGGAGCCTCCGTGTCTGCTGTCCTCACTCGCCCCCGAGCGCGAGCGCACCAGTCAGCTTCTGCTGTGTCCCCACCCCGGCCACAGCCCGCGCGCCTCTCTGGGAGGGCTCTGCTGTCCACACCCTTGCGGTCCTGAAGGCAAAGCAGGCGTCGGTGCCGCCCTGCCGCTGGACCATGTCATAGTATGGGGGCCTGGGACGCCACCCCTCACCTCTGCTCGCTCCCTGCCCCAACAGGCTGAGCTTGGCAAGCCCCGGGAAAGGAGCTGCAGTCTGCCTGGTGTCGATTTCAACTACGGACTCTACATCCGGGGGCTGGACGGAGGGGTCCCCGAAGGTGAGTGGGCGCGCTGTGGAGCACAGGGGGTAAGGGTGGGCGGGAGGCTCACTCCTCTTCACAGAGCTCTCGACCTAGGCTGGGGCTTGGCCACGCGCCAGGTGCCAGAGAAAGACCCAAGAGGCCACAGGTCTGGGCGGCCGCGTGGTAAAGCCCAGGGCGTGGCCGGGATGGGGAGGACCACACAGGGCAGGTCTTCGGTGTCGGACTATGAGCCCGGAACAGGCTCAGGAGCAACTGTGATGGCCCCAAAAGGTCAAGGCCGGGCTGGCCCAGCTCCAGGAAGATGTTCCGGCACCCTCTGCAATGCCTGCGGGCCCTGACCCTCCCTTTCTGGGCCGTGCTTTCTGGGAGCCAGGCAGGGCTGTCGCCCGCGGTCTCAGGTTAATGGGAAGGTAAAGGGCCCACGTTCCCCTGCTTCTGCTCGGTCAGATGCCACAGGGAGCTGTCCTCCAGACTGACACCTGGCTCACGGTCCTGTCTCTCCCCGCCCGCAGCCCTTGGACACTGGAACGTGTTTAAGCAGCAGCCCACCTGCCCCCACGAGCTGACGCGGAATTACATCGCGATGAACCGCGGGGCCGTGAAGGCTGGCCTGGTGACTGCCCGGGAGAACTTCCTCTACTGTCGGTTCAATGACATCCGCATCAGTGACCAGGATGACCGGCGCCTGAAGAAGGAGCCGCCCTCTCTCCCTCCAGACATGACATTTGGGATCCCGGCACGGTAAGGTGCCTCAAGGTGGCTGTGGGTGCTGGTTGAATCGGGGAACAATGTCAGAGGGTGACTGGGAAGCGGACCATCCTCTGGGGCTCCCTCCAAAGACTCTCTCTTGTGTGACTTCTGCAGCCACACCCTGAATCCAGCCGAGCTGGGTCCTTGCCCGGCAGCAGGATATACTGTAGGGCTGTGCACAGGGCACCCACTTTCCCTCAGTCAACAAACATTTATTAAGAGCTGTTTCTGCTCTCAGGAGGTTTAATAACCTGGGCGAGGAAGGGGAGAGCCTACCAGGTTACCCCAGCATGGCACCATCCCTGTGAAGCCACTGGAGAGGTTCTGGAGCCTGGGCTCAAACCTGGACTCTGGCTGTAACTAGCTGTGGGATCCTTGCCTCAGTTTCTGCATCTGTAGAATGGGGATAATAATAGTATCTGCACCCTAGCATTGCTGAGAGGTTTCAGTGACAGAACGCATGTGAAAACCTCGGCATAGGCCCTAGGACATGGCAAGCACTCAATAAATATTAGTTACTATTATTGTTAAAATGATATGATGTGAACTGTAGACCAAGAGGTATGAAATTTTTTAAAATTTATGTTGAGGTTTGACTTATACACAGCAAAGCACAAATCATGACGTGTTCAGCTTGATGAAATTTTACAACTGGAAACACTCATGTCATTGCCACTCAGGTAAAGATATATACCTGGCACCCCAGAAAGCCCCTGCGTTCCCCCTGAGACGTCACTGCTCTGTGGCCCCACCAGCACCACAGGTGGGATGAGTCTGCACACACATCCCGGTGGTCCCACATCCTCAGCACTGTCAACACTGCGCGCTTTACCGCGAGGACACAAGCAGCCCGGGGCTTCGGTCCGCCCCTAATGCCAGTGAGGACCCACACGCCATACAGAGAGGCAGAGAGATGGGGGCGTGGCCCACAGAAAAGGACTTTCCGCGCCACGCGCCCCATCCAGTCAATGCCCGTCTTCTTCTGCCTGCACCTCTGCAGAAACCTGCTAACTGCTCTCCCCGCCTCCAGAACTGGCCCTTCCCGAGTCGCCTGGCACATTGCGACGGAGCTCTCTCTCTACTGCACAGATTAAATTGTACTGTTGCCTACACAGACACCTGTAACAGCGCCACAGTGAGGGCCTTTATCCTCTTGGCTGATTTTGCCCACCGGGCACTGGATCCCCTCTTTCTGGAAACAGAGCCCTGATCGTACATCTTTTCCACCATCGGCCCGTGCAGATCCTGGGACCGAATTCACCCCTGACTCCAGGGATGGGAACGTGACCAGGCCTGGCCCGTCAGAGGGTCCAGATTCCCCTGGCCTCAGCGACTGGCTCAGAGGCAGACATGTGGCCCATGCCTGGCCCATCAGTGTATTTCACAAACGCTGGTCACAGTGGTTGGTTCAGGATCAGACCTGTCACCCATGTCCCAACCCTGGCACACTTGACATTCAATAAAAGGAGAATGCAGTTGCATGTAATCAATACTCAACTCAAACTGCCTTGATTTTCTTTAAGGAGAATTTATTGGCTCCCAGCATGGAAGAGCCCAGGGGTGGGGCTTCAGGCATAGCTGGATCCAGGCAGTGAGGCAGCATCATCCGTCCGTGCTGTGCTTCCCGGTTTTGGCTCCATTCTCTGACAAGCTTCCTCCTCACCTGACAAAATGGACAGCAGTGGTTCCACTCTTACCTCCTGTTCTCTTAGTGGGCCCAGTGCTGAGGGGTAGAGACGACAAAAGCTTTGAGATCAAGGTCTTCGGTCCAGCTTGGGTCATGTGCCCGCCCCTGTAACTAGGGCTTGTGAAGTACATTGATTGGCCAGATTGAGTCACATGCCTGCCTCTGAGCCAATTGCCAAGGCCAGGAGAATCTGAAGCCCTCTTATTGGCCAGGTCCAGTCACAAACCCCTCCCTGAATTGGGGAGGTGAATTGGGTCTCCAGGATCTGCACAGGCTGATGGTGGAAAAGATGTACGATCAGAGCTATTTCCAGGAGGGGACAGATGCCCGGCAGGCAGAAACAGCAAATGTCCCCTGCACAGGGCTCCCTAACCCTTTCTGCATCGGGACACAAGCTTATCATTGCTACAGCAGTTACTGATATTTGTCATTGCACTGAGCAGACAAATAGAAGCAGCTGCTCCCAGACGCCAGCGAGCAGCCTGGGCCTCCACGTCCAGCCACCTGTGACTGACAAGGCCAATGTCTCAGCCCACCTGTGTGGCAGCGTCCTGCTCCGCCCTCAGTCAAGGCCACTGACGTCCCATCCCCAGCCTGCCTTTCCAACCTCCCTCCTGCCGTTCCTGGACCAGGTACTTTCCTTTGACCACGCCACCATACTCTTTTACTTTTGGGTGGTTCCCTCTTTATTCTTTATTTTTTCTAATTTTTTTATTGTGATAAAATACACATATTTACCATTTACTGTGCACTTTTAAGTGCACAGTTCAGTGGGAATAATTACATTCACATTGTTGTGAAACCATCACCCCCATCCATCCACAGAACTTTTTCATCTTCCCGAACTGAACCTCCGTCCCCATCAAACACTAACTCCTCCTGCCCCATCCCCCCACGTCTTGGTAAGCATCATCCCACTTTCTGTTTCTATGAATTCGACCATTCTAGGTAGCTCGTGTGAGTGGAATCATACGGTATTTGCCCTTTTGTGTCTGGCGTATTTCATTTTCCATAACGTCCTCCAGGTTCCATGTCGTGGCATGTGTCAGAATTCCGTTCCTTTTTAAGGCTCAGTAATAGTCCCTTGTACGGATACACCACATTCCCTTCACCCCTCATCCCGGATGGACACTGTGGTTTCCAGCTTTTGGCTGCTGTGAAAAGTGCTGCTGTGAACATGGTGTGCAAATGTCTGATTGAGTCCCTGCTTTCAGTTCTTTTGGGTCTATAAACAGAAGTGGAATCGCTGGGTCGCATGGTAATTCTATGTTTAACTTTTGGGGACCCACCACGCTATTCCCCACTGGGTGTGTGACCAGACTTCCGCACGGCCTCTCATGCGTGGGCCTCGCCTACGCATGCTGTGAAGTTCAGCTCGGCACCCCCTCTTTCCCACCTCCCATGGCCGCAAATACTAGGCACATCTTTCTCCAGAAATGCATTTCTTCACCTTGAAACCTGGAAGGTGACACTAGAGACACACTGGAAAGTCACCTCCGGCTGGATTAACTAATCACCTGCACACCATACTTTCCCCACCTTTGGAACCATCCCTCAAGTGGGTCCCTCCGAGGTGTCTCCGTGATTTTTTCGCCAGCAGACTGGCTGGGGCAGAGGGGAACGGGGACTCCATGCCGTGCCCTAGATCACTAGATGATTAGTCCGTGGTGGTGACCGGGTGTCTCAAAGACAGTGTGGCGTCGGGGAGGAGCCCTGGGCCAGGAGTTGGCCTGGGTGCTAGTCCCAGTTTTGTCCCCAACGCTCCACATCACATTCCCCAGGGCTCCCACTTCCTCGTCTGTGAGAGGGGGTTGCACCAGTAGCACACACTAATCACAGCAACCTGTGATCCTCAGGATGTGCTCTGTCTCCCGGCTTGTCTGCAAACCTTCACGCCAGTTTATTGTCATTGTCATTCAAACCCTGGGTGGGTGGGCGGGATTACTACCCAGTTGAGGCAGGGAGAGGTTAATTGACCTCCCTAAGTTCATACGACTTTATCATGGCAGGGCTTGGCCTGGATTCCCAACCTAGTACGCTTATATTTAAAAACAGAAGATAATAGAACATATAGGACATCAGCAATCACCTGGTTTGAAGTCCTTATTTAAAATAGAAGAAAATAGCAAGATGTTCAGAGAGGTGAAGAGAGCTTCCCAAGGTCACACAGCAAGTTGTTAACCACGCCAGGTCTACAGTCAGGCTGGCAGACTCCTCGTGCAGTGCTGTGTGCTCTGTGTCCAGCCCCCTTGTGTCTGAGGTGCTGTGTGAACACCCACAGATTCTGGTCCCCAGGCTAAGGTTTCCGTTTATCGCTTGAGTCAGCTGGGCTTGGAGAAGACATCCATTACCACCCAGCTTTCAATACAGAATCTTAAATTGCTCTGAAACCAAGTGGCCACAGTTCAGGGGAAGGATGTGATGAAGTGCCGGCTCTATCTTCTGTGATGGTAAATGGGCTTTGCATATGCAAATTGAATGGATTTTAAAATGGTATTTAATGACAATTTTCGTAGCAGACATTAACATTAATTGCACAAAAATGAAAATGCTGCATTAGGTTGCTGTTAGCAGCAAATACCGTGGCCATAAAGCTTTGTCTTCATCAGCAGCGGCCCTTCCCGGCGTGACAGGGCAGCTCGGCAAATTGCAGGCAAAAGGGCTTTTAAGGAACAGAAATATCCCCCAAAGCAGGCCCAAATCAGCATCAATTTCGCTTTATTTCTTCGTAAATGGAGGTTAAATGGCTGCTGGAAAAGCTTTTACGGAGACGCCCAACCTGCCTGGAAAAACCCTCCCACCTTACGGCATAAATAAGGAGGGACAGTTAAAAAACCATCGCCCCTCCCTAATGGGGCTATTACTTTAAAGTTATGGGGCCAAGGCCCGTTCTCTACTGATCACCTTTTACAAGCCTTCATTGTATTTATTTCTTTACTTTAAAAGCCTGTTAAAAAAACCAAATCCTATTACGACTGAGGAGTTGTTGGGGCGATTTGGTCCAACAAACAAATAAAGAAACAAACCAGTGCTGTTGACTCACAACTACAGATGTGTTAAAAACTAAAGTCCCGCCTCAGACTAAACGCCCGCCTCAGACTAAACGCTGAGCGCTCACTCTAAGCTAGGACGGAAGGGAGGGGTCGTTACTGCCTCAAGGGTCAAAATTCTGACCACATCTAGCCCTCCCTCTCCAGCTTTGCAACCACTGGCCAAAGAACGGCAGGGAGGGGTGTGCCCCCTCTTCTCCACACACCCCTAGCCTCCTGCCCTTTTGATCTCTCGATACCAGATGGGATTCAAA